TTCTGAGGGGACAAGGATTTTCACTGGGAATTTACAGCCCAACAAGCTTCACTCACAAGATCCCACAGCTGACAGTCATGATTTTCTGCCTGCCCCCTGGAGGTCTCAGTTACGCTTTCCACAGCGGACCTTTAATCGTAATCGTATACTCTTGAGACGAACGTTATTATGATTTCGGCATGGATGCTCTGGTAATCGTATACTCTTCAGACGAACGGAAGTATGATTTTGGCATGGATGCTCTGGTAATCGTATACTCTTCAGACGAACGGAATTATGCTTTTGGCATGGATGCTCTGGTCATCGTACGCTTTAGGAACACGAACGTTATTATGATTTTGGCATGAAAGCTCTGGTAATCGTATGCTTTAGGAACACGAAAGTTATTATGATTTGGGCGTCTACTCTTGAGACGAACGGAATTATGATTTTGGCATGGATGCTCTGGTAATCGAGCAGGAAGCAGCCCTTGCAACCGTAGAACCATCAGCGTTTCCAGCGCCAAAAGATATGGGAGCATGGCGGCGCACATGCTGCTTAGATTACATTAAGAAGCCTAGAGTGCGCCCATCACGTCAGGTTGCTGTGCTCCTATGAAGAACGGTCTTAATGATGCTAGATAAACCGTACGGGATTACCCCCCCTCACCCCGCCAAACCCCAAAAGCAACACCAACTCGCGCTGGAGCCAGTGGCAACTGCCGTGCGCGGTCGGAGAACCTATGCCGCGGAGCGAACCCTAAACCCTAAACCGCCCGAGACTGCAAAGGTGGAGGCATTTGCAACATTGTGTTGGCATCTTGCTGCAAGATGCGCTTTGCGACCGATGTGGGCAGCTGACATGCAGGATCTGACATTCAGAATTGCTACCTAGGAGTGTCTCAAATCTGACTCAGATTTTTCACTGCAGACCATCCTTTGGGGAGAGGGAGGGTTAAATCGGTCATCATTTTTCCCATACTGGCTGCACAGGTCTCAAACACTCTCGGTGCCCCAACAGCCATGGAGCCAGGCTGGCACCCCAAACTACTTTTTTGTTCATCGGAAGACATAAAATGGGTTTAGGGTTAAGGGTTAAGCTCTCCAAGATCAAACGCCCGCCTTGATGAACCTCATGAATAGGTTACGCAAGTAAGGGGGAGAGCGCCGTCCCAGCCTGCAATGTCGTTTCGCTGCCTAAGCATATCATTCAAGTGTTTTACTCCCCGCAATGAGATGTCTGTTGCACTGAAGCACTTAGGCAGGTCAGGCAGTCTTCACCAAGGACATGTATGGGACAAACACATGCTTAGCTCCACTCCGTCGAGCTTAATCTCTGCAACATTTGCACCCTTTGATGAACTTCAGATAAGCGGCCGTCACCAGCAGCTCGACGTCTTGAAGCAAATCGCCCGCACTTTCTTGCCTTCTGCGGTAGCCAGCCTTACCTGCATGTGCCCGGTTGTTGTGGGGCATGCTGAAGGAAGACGAACATCTGCGGGTCATGCTACAACCTGATGCCTGCTGATTCAAGGGGCAAGGCCAATGAAAATATGCAAAGATGCCTGGTTTGCTTCGCCCTTGGCGATCTTCATGTATGTCTTTCGGGCTTAGCACCTCACCAGTTGCACAGGATCACTGGAGGTATGCCCAACAGCAAACCACAGTGATCATACGAGTGCTGCTGGCATCACCATATCGTTCAAGCCAAGGTTCGTATTCCAGCGCCATTCCGTTATTATTGATGGCAGCTGTCACAACCTGGCACTAGTATGCAGTAGGCTTTTTCAATATTAATACTCAAAATAATACTAACAGTAGCAAAAATAGCAAAAATATTATGAATACCAATAATAATTATTGCAATAATTAAACAACTGGAGAACCCCACATGTGTGGCTGGGTAACAAGACTACGAGACGCAAATCGGGGACTTGATTCGCTGAAAAATCTTAGGGCGACACCCCTTGCAATTTGGGATTTGGGGACTTGATTCTGTGAAAGCTCATAGGGGAACACCCCTTGCGATTTGAGATTTGGGGACTTGATTCTGTGAAAGCTCATAGGGGAACACCCCTTGCGATTTGAGATTTGGGGACTTGATTCTCTCAACAATCTTATGGGGACACTCCTTGCGATTCGAGATTTGGGAACTTGATTCTCTCAACAATCTTATGGGGACACTCCTTGCGATTCGAGATTTGGGGACTTGATTCTCTGAAAATGATCTTAGGGAGACGCCCCTTGAGATTTGAGATTGTTGGACTGGATTCTACATACATACATACATACATACATACTTAATTACTTAATTACTTACTTACTTACATACTTACGTACACATACATGCCCATACATACACATACCCATACATACACATACATACACATACACACACATACATACATGTACATACACATACATACATACATACATACATACATACATACATACATACATGCATACATACACACATACACACATACACACATACACACACATACACATACAAATACACGTACACATACACATACACATACACACACACATACACATACACATACACATACACATACACATAGACATACACATAGACATACACATACACATACACATACATATACATATACATCTACATACATTCTACATACATACATACATACATACATACATACATAAATACATACATACATACATACATACATATATACTGGGATTTTGGGAGCTCATTTGTCCAAAAACTTAAGTGGGACTCTGTTTGCGATCTGGGATTTGGGAAGCTCATTTGTCCAAAACCATCAGGGTGACACTGCTTGCGATTCCTGATTTGCAGAGCTCATTTGTCGAAAAAACTGCAGGGGGACTCTGCTTGTGATTTGTGTTTTGAGGAACTCGGTTTTTCAAAAAACTTAAGGGGACACTGCTTGCGATTTGTGATTTGGGGAGCTCATTTGTCCAAAAACTTAAGGGGGACACTGCTTGCGATCTGAGATTTGGGTAGCTGATTTTTCGAACAACTTAAGGGGGACACTGCTTGCGATGTGTGATTTGGGGAGCTCATTTGCAGAGTTTTGGGATGTTTACGACCTCCCATGTAGGGGCCCCTCATAAATCTCTAGTAAAGATATATAAGGGCCCCCATACAGGAGGCACGAAACCCTCTGTTTTGGATATGTATGTATGTATGTATGTATGTATATGCATGTATGTATGTATGCATGCATGCATGTATGTATGTATGTTTGTTTGTATATGTTCATACATATGTAATGAAAAATCGACCAAATTTTGAGGATGCTCCGCACGGGAGCACGATTTTGAACGAAGAATCGATTGAATTTTGAAGATGCTCCGCACTGGAGCGCGATGTTCATCAAAATATTCAGGACGCTCCGCACGGGAACGCAAATTTGATGAAATTTCGAGGATGCTCCGCACAGGAGCGCGATTTTCGTCCAAATTTTCAGGATCCTCCGCACGGCAGCGCGATTTTCGTCCAAATTTTCAGGATGCTCTGCACGGGAGCACAATTTTCTTTAAAATTTTGAGGATGCTCCGCATGGGAGCGCGATTTTCTTCTAAACAAGATGACCTTGAGCGGAGCATTTTGGTATAGAATTGGTATAGGATCCATCCCGTAAACGATCAAATTTTGACGATGCCGACGAGTCCTATACCAATCCTATACCGCAGAGCTCCGCCAAATACCTCGCTCTTGAGCCCGTATAGGATTGGTATAGAAACCCTCGTCATCATCGTTCATAAATAATCAAAATTTTGCGAATTCTCCGCACGGGAGCATCATTTTGATCGAATTTGATGAAGAAAATCGACGACATTTCGAGGATGTCTCGGGCGAGAGCGCGATTTTTGAAGATACGAAAACCATCAAAACGTCAAAAAAAATCGAATTGTCTCGCGCGGGAGCGCCATTTTGATCGATTTCGATGAAGATAATTCGAAGAAATTTTGAGGATGTCTCGAGCGGAGCGCGATTTCGGAAGATACAAACATCATCAAAACGTCAAAAAAATCGAATTGTCTCGCGAGGGAGCGCAATTTTTGCAAACTCAAAATCTGGAATTTTGAGGGCGTCCCGCACGGGAGCGCAATTTTCCAAAATCGAGGCGCGACCGGTTCGCGTCCGGACCCCTCTACCAAGAGCACTTTAAAGGCAATGTCTCGTATTTCTTGATCGACTATCGATAATATACGCCGATTTTTTGAGGATGTCTCGAGCAAGAGCGCGATTTTTAGCGAACAAGATCGCGTCCCAAATGTTTGCGCGACGGAAGAGCACGCGGATGTCGGCGGGCGACGGTGCATCTAAACAATTGGAACCCCACAGTGAATGTGGGGAACAATAATGAAGCTAATAACAATAAATATTTATATGAATACCATTAGAATGATAGTAATACAAATAATGCTGAGCCCATCTGGCTTGACATCCCTGCATCGACACGCTCAGAACGTCTCAGACGCTGTAGTAGCTTCCGTTTTCTTTTCCATTATCCCAATATTACCCTAATATACTATAACAGTCTTCATTCTGTTTTTCATTATCCCAATATAACCCTAAGCCCTAAATCCACATCCTAAACCCTATAGTAGTTTCCATGTTCTTTTCCATTATCCCAATATGACCCCAGCCATAGCCATGGTTGTGGCTGTCGGCCTCGCGGTCCATTCGCAGGGTGGCCTCTGCAAGTGCCAAAGCCTTGCCATCTCCTGGGTTACTGTTGGAACTGACATTAAGTTAGTGTAAGGGTTTAGGGTTGCAGTTAAGGAACTTAAATCAAGTTACTATAATAAGGATATATAGGGGGTACTTATATGCGCCTAAACTAGAATTTAGAGAAGGTCCTTTTTATGTGGCCTGTTACGAGGAGGGCGACCCCGAGGGGCCCCATCCCTGTGACTGTTGACACTTTTGAAACATAGGGGGAAGGGGGGGGGGGAAACGCGGAGCGCAGACGCATATGTAGGGGTACATGGGGATGTTTAGGGTTTAGGGTCAAAGAACTTAAGTTAAGTTACTGTATTCGGCAAACCCGATTATTTACTGTATATACCCATTTGGTAACTTAATTTAAGCTCCTTAACAGCAACCCAGTCTCTGGTCACCGCGCGAAGCATAACTTCCTTGTCGGCCCCTTGGTAGAATGCTTGACTGATGAATTGCCTTTGGAGCGTGCAGATAACCCTCATATCCCTGTAGTTTCCATGGTTATTTTCCACAATCCCTATATGTACCCCTATATAACCCAATTAATCCCTGTAGCTTCCATTGTCGTACTTACCGTTGCCATGCTGTGCCAAGGCCACTTAGGCCAGAGCTAAGCTCCCTCGATGCGAACCGCAAGGGCGTTTCACGCTGATCTGCTGGCAAAATCGGCCATGTCGGCCTCGCATGGGGGAACGGATTATAGGGACTGTTATTAGGGATTATATAGGGACTACTGTAGGGATCCATTCCCCCATTCCTTCCTAAGCACCAGGGAGAGGACTACTTTGGGCTTCCACGACAAGATTTGCGAACATGCTTGGTCAACAGTGTTCACAGGAGCAGTCTGGTGCATAAAGCTGCCGTAGTATCCGGATATGGGGGGGGGGGCGTCTCAGACACTTTCCAAGACTTCGTTGTTGTCGATGCAAATGTTACAAGCTGAGCGGGAATACCATGTAAATTTGCAGATCGTTGAATACATGTAGACAATTCTCCCTGGTGCTTAGGAAGGAATGGGGGAATGGATCCCTGTAGTAGTCCCTATATAATCCCTAATAACAGTCCCTATAATCCATTCCCCCATTCCCTCCTAAGCACCACGGAGTAGGTTTTGGGCTAGACTCCAGATGTTCCATTAAAAAGAGCATGATCTTACAGTGTGTTGGGGACTACCGTCTCCCAAATAAAATGCTACTCAATAGCTTGCCATGTGAGCTACAGTCTAAACTGCTAGCATCCCCCTTACTAATCGCTATAATACTCCCCTATATAATCCCTAAACCCTAAACCCCCTACATAACCCCCCTTTCATGGGTTTGGACTCTAAACCCTAAACCCTAGCTCAAGCAGTCCCAAGTGCGGCGTCCAGGCGTCAATGGCCTGCAGAGCCTCAGGCGCACTTGTGCTCTTCTCAATATCGGGGTTTAGGGTTTAGGATTCAGGGTTCAGGGTTCAGGGTCTAGGTTTTTAGGGCTCTTTTCAACCTCCCGCAGGGTTCAGGATTTAGGGTTTAGGGTTATGTAAGGTATATAGCGATTCTATAGGGATAATGGAAAAGAAAATGGAAGCTACTAATTAGGGTTTAGGGTTTCCCGAAATCAGGGATACCTCTTTGGGAGATCCCATAGTAAGGATTATAGCATTTGGGGGTCTACATTGGTGTTCCCCTATTTAGGGAAACTACCATTTAGGGCTTATCTAGACATTAAAGGGGTGCCGGAGATTCTTTTGGGTAGTTTTGAGAAACTGCTGTGTGTGGTCTACCTACTAGCGCTTATCGATGCCAGGCCCCCAACCAAATCCTTGTCACCGCGAAGACGCACCGAAGCCCATTGAAAGCTGAGCGGTGACTGCAGAACTGCCGCCTCCAAGACTGGCGCTGACGCACATGTTTTAGGGCTGGCTTAGGGTGTAGGGAGCCACTCCAAAATTCTATGTCTCCACACGAATATTCTGCACTTGTGCCGAAGGCTTGGGAATTTCTCAACGAAGTGTTGGTTGGTGGTCTTTCTGCGAAGTGTAGCTTTGAGCAAGAGCGATCCTCTAGTGATACTGCCACTCAGACACTCCCTTATTACTGTGGTCTCCATTTTCTTGTCCATCATTCCTAAAAAATCCTTATGTTGCACAAAAATATTCCCTACCCTAAACCCTAATCCTTGAAAAACCCTAAACCCTATATCCGAAATCCTAGAGTCAAAGACTTTAAGTTTGTACCCTTAATGTTTGTAACCCTAGGTTTTGGGTCCCAAATACCCTCATTAAGGGCCATATTCCATGGTTTAGGGGCCCAAAACCCAGGGGTACAAACCCTAAGGGTACAAAGAAAAACTCCCTGATATAGTATACCCCTATACACTCCTCGACACATTCGCGATCATCGCAAAATGCGTTGGCAAACTTCAAGGCATCACCCTGGCGGCGGAGCCTTAGGGAGGGACCGCAAAGCCTCCACCGTCTCCTAAACAAACATGGAAGCCTACACTTACGGGGAGTTAGGGCTATGTAGCGTTTAGGGTTTAGGGTCGGATTTAAGCTTACTTGGGGAGTTTGGGTTACGTAGGGTTTAGGGTTTAGGGTTTAAGGTTTAGGGTTTAGGGTTTAGGGTCAAGGGTTTAGGGTTTAGGGTAGGGAAGATAGGTATAATATTGGGTTATATAGGGATAATGGAAAAGAGAATTGAGACTACTATTTACGGTTTGGGGTTTAGGGTTAGTAGGGAATAAGGGAATGCATTATACGAGGGTTATATGGAGATTATTTTCCCTAATTCCTACTAACCCCCAGTAAGTAAAAGGGGCCTGCTGTCCTTTCAAAAGGAGGCTCGACAGCATGAGCTTCCATGTTTGTTCGGGGAAGAGTACCAACAAAAGTGCAAGACGGTGTTCGCGGCTGTTTTCAACTACCTTGACAAAAAGACAAGCACACTCCAACCTTAAACCCTAAACCCTATCAATAAGCTGAAGTGCAATTCCAGCACGAAGCTGCGATCTTCTTTGATGGCTGCTGGCATTTTGTCCTTTCAATCTTGACCAAGGATGAGGCAGTCCGTGTTCAATCACAAAGTAGGGTTTAGGGTTTGGGGAATGGATGTCTAGAAAGATAGCTATAGAAGCTTATTTTCGTCCCTACAGTGGGCCCTGGCCTAAAGTCTCTGCTTATGCAGATTCAGATTTGGAGCACTTCCCATGTTTGCAATCTCCTCCCCTAGAAGAAAATCACCCCACCCCCAATCACATTATGTAATGGGATCGGCATTTGTTCTTATGGTGCTGGGCGGGTCTAGTAGTATGAGAAGACCCTACATGAGTTATAGTCTAAACTCCATGTATCCCCCTTAATACCTACTATAATACTGCCCTGTATAATCCCTTATATCATCCCTTTGAAGGAATTTAGACTATAGCTCACATGAAGCCTCAACTTCCTTTAACTTTCCATCTACTTCAGGTTGACGGGATTCTGCTGGAACCCTAAACCCTAAACCCTAAACCCTAAGCCAAGATTCAAGTTCCATCGGGTTGCCAGTCACCACAGCCCTGAGTACGTCTTCATCGGCGCGCAAGTCCTTCAGTTATTATTACCACTAAGTCTACTGCCCATTACTACTACTATTTACTAGTACTACTATTACTACTATTACTACTACTACTACTACTACTACTACAACTACAACTACAACTACAACTACTACTACTACTACTACTACTATTACTACTACTACTACTACATAATACTACTACTACTA